CTCTCTCTCTCTCTCTCTCTCTCTCTCTCTCTTCTGGCCGTGCTCTTGTGCTCGCGCACGCACGTAGCCCGCGCAGCTTCGCTCTCTACCTCTTTCGTCACCCGCTCAGCTTCGTCTGCCGCTCGCGCACCTTTGGCCACTCCGGTAATCACCCGCGCAGCCCTTTTCGCAGCTTGCATATCTTCGTGATGCCCTGATCATCATTCGCGCAACCTCTTCGAGTACTCGCACGTCGTACAGTCGGTCTTCTCTCTCTCTCTCCCCTCGCTTACTCCCGTTCTCACTCCCTCACTAGCACTAGCACGCTTGTCTGACGTGCCCGAATCTCGGCCACTGTGGGGCTAGATTCATGTCATTCCAGCCGATGCGAACGTGGCGTTCCCCCTCGTTTTAATGCGCGCGTTTTCACGCTCGATAAGGGCCAGGTTCGTGCGCTATCTCCAATCCCTCCCTCTTCTCTCTCTCTCTCTCTCTCTCTCTCTCTCTCTCTCTCTCTCTCTCTCTCTCTCTCTCGCTCTCTCTCTCTCTCTCTCAGGCGCGCGCACGCAGTAACTCACTACGCACAATCGTCCCCCTTTGCGCAGCTTCCTATCTCCGTCGTGCGAAACCCTTTACTCCGCGCGTTGGTCCTTCCCCTTCGCGCGCAGCTCTAGCTTCGCGCATTGTCAACTGCACGCAGTTCCTCCTCCTTCGTGCACAGTTCCTGCTTCTTGCGCGCATCTCTATGCTCCCCCGCACAGGCAAGCCCGTTCGCGCACATCTTCAACTGATGCAGCTCGTCGTGATGATTGAGCAAACTCGATGAGTCCACTCATATCTGCGCACGTGATCCGATTCGAACTTCGATCGATAGTTCGTGCTCTGAATGTGAGCTGCCCGTTTCTGATGGGACAACCCTTCCTTGAGCTAGATGGCCCGTTCCGCCGGATCGTCTTCGTCGTTTGGATGATGGGCATGGTGGTTAGCCGGTTGTGGGAGCCCCTCCCGTGCACTGATGTACCCGTGCGTCGTGTCGCCCACAAGTCACACCCCGCGCTTCTGTGAGCCAGCACCCGTGTGCTAGCCCGGTCTGCCTGTCCCGTGCCCTTCTGAGCCAGCACACCTCGTGTGCCAGCCCGTGCGCCCTTCCTGTGCGCAAGTCAGAATTCCCCGAGAATGAGCCCTCTTGGGCTTATAAAGTTTGCTGGTCCCACGGTACCAGCTCCCAGCAACCAGCTCTCACCCGCCGTCGGCCGATCCGAGTCGGGAACTTTGCAGCACCGTGGTACCGAGCCTATGCCCGAGGTTGTTTGGGCCCCACAAAGGTCTTTGTCAAGGAGAGCCTTTTTATCGGGAACTGGGCCTTTTGCAGCGCCCCCGGTACCGGACCTATTTCCAAACCTGCCCCGGGCCTATCTCGGCCTTGGTGGTCCCCACTCATAAGTGGTACCAGCCCCCCTTGTGAAAGTCACGCAGGCCCGCCAAAAACTCTAGGCAGGGAGGGCCATTTTCGAGCCCTAGTCCCGCACCCTTCTCCTCTTAGTGTCGAGGCCCCCGCGTAGGCCCGATCCCACCGCTTGTGCTTGCAGGGTGTTCTTGAGAATTCGGTTACTCGAGGCAACTTCGGACACCGCCGCCGCTTAAGACGTCTGTAGCCTCACGATAAACGCCCGTCACCTCCGTTCCCTCGACTATTCCGCCGACCTTTAGTATCCTGCTGACCTTTCGCGGCCGCGCCTCCTTGTCTGACCCTAGCCTCTTTGCGCTCGTCGATAGCTTACGTCTTAGGCTCTCTCCACAAAGATACCGTTGTTTAACGCTCGAGCCCTGCTCGAACTGGACGTCGTAGCCCGACCACTCATTCCGTCAACCTGTCGCGGCATTTTCCCATGGCCGGTGAACCCCTGCCAGATAAAAACCAACAAATGGGAACCTCGTTGTGCGCCTTTGTAAAGGAAGGGCGGCGTAGGGCTGGAGCCGCCCGACACCGTTCCTCAGGTCACCGCGTGGTGATCTGGTCCGCCTGCTGAAAAAGAAGGGGGCATTTTGAGCCCCTCCCAGTCAGAATCCGACAATTGGCTGATCAAGGTGGTAGACTCCTACTATCTCCCTGATCAGGGTGTCTCCAGGGGCATTCCCTTGGCACCGAGCCAAGCCAGGTATCCACAGTCCAGCTGGCAACAGTGTCATTACGGCCTTCTATCCCACTGTTGCAAAGCTTAATTGTGGGTTCGCTCTGACTCACCAGCAGGGTCTGGTTGGGTGTTGGCTGGCTCCCCGTACAGTTGCAAGAGTCGGGCGTTAGTAAGAAGTCGAGCGAGTAGACGGAGGTTCTGATGTTGACTAAAGAGCTTCCGCGCCATGGGTTTGCACTCATCGGAGTGAGGGCTTCATGAAGAGGTGTGCGGCTCCCCGTGAGCTGTTCTGAGCAAGGGCTCAGAGGGTGGTCGGACCGCCATGACTGGGAATCAGGACTGACTTTGCTCTACTTGCCGGGTTGGGTCAGCAGAGGAGCCCACCAGGGCGAGTGGGGGCACTCTTGGAAGACCGAAAGGTAAGACTCTAAGAGTGAGTGAGGAAGAGGTGTTGGCAAGGGTCTTTAGGAGAGATCCTTTTCTCGTTTTTTTTTTTTTTTTTTTTTTTTTAAGGCATGACTTGACATCTGTTTTGCAGGTACCCTACAGCCAGATGAAGACAGCAGGGTTTGGTATGACTTGACAGTGAGCGGCACAGAGCCGGCAGACAAAGAGAAAGGGGTTTGGTATGTTCACCCCTTATGAGGCAGCCGTCGGTCTAGATGACCTGGATGATCCTGGATTCGATGATTGGTCCCATATCCGCATGTGGTTGAGATATTGATTGTGCTGTACTGATAGGCAGTATGGATGAGATGGACTGATCCAATGATGACGAGATGTGCAGGCCAGGATTGAGACTTGGACTGCTAGACCAGAACTAGCAATAGGGTCAGGTCTAAGATTGAAGATCGATCATGATGATGCATGAGGCCAAACCTAATGAAAGGTTTGACTTGAGATTGAGGCTGATTCAGTGATGCAAGGGAACGAGATTGATAGTACGATTGGGCTGCATGAGCAGTCATGATACTTACGTGTGGTGACT